GCGATGGTGGTAGGTACAACAGTTGGGATGATGGGGATTGTTGTGGCTTCACTGGTGGCAGCCAGGGCAGGAGCATCAGTACTGCTCACAAGGCCTGTGGTACCCACAGTAGTCGGGGGTAACGTGGGAGGAGCTAAGAGGGAAATGGGAAATAACCGAGTCTGGTTGGTCTGGTAGCACTCAGCTAGCTCATGTGGCCCCCACGTGCAAGGCAGGCAGCCCAGTGGGAAGATGGGCTCAGAAGTCAGAAGCCTCCCCAAGCATCCGCACTGGTCCAGGAGGACCCCAGCAACCGATACACAGCCATGGGAGGGGAAGAGAATGAAGCTGCTGTGTGTTTCATTTTCTTCTCATGGTCTGCATAGCTTGAAGCACCCAGCATGCATCCAACCAGGGATTAGGACAGTGGCCGAAGGACACACGTACACTGAATCATTTGAATCCCAGGGATGGCACAGAGAGTGGGCCAGAAACACCATGTGGGTCCAGTCCTGGAGCCTCAGCTCAGAAGAGATGTGGGCAGGTGACTGGGCTCTGCCCTTCAGGGACTAAAAGCAAGCTTGCCACTCCCAGCCCCTCCATCCAAAGTCCCCCTTTATCATCTCTGTGGTTTCTGTCCCCCTCCCCCATCTCTCCCTTCTTTGCCTACTGGCAGCTGCTCCCTCCCTCCCCTCCGCCACACACTCAAGTCCTTCCTGTTCCCATTAGAACATAGAATGCATGACAGTGTGGCCTGTGATGGGCAACCTTAGTCTCCGGGTAGAAAGACACAAATTGCATCAACAAAGGAGCTGAGTGCCATGCCCCCTCTCTGTGGAATCTTCATCCGGGTCACAAACATCTGGCTCATATTTGGCCTGACTTGCTTATCTAAAGCGGACTTTTCATGTTAGTCGGCCCTGGGGCCTAGTCCACAAATGCAGCAACGTTTTCATACCACTCTTCCTCTATAAAACTGTCAGAGAAACTAGCAAAGGGGCTGCCTCTCCTTACTTTCAAGATCAATATTTGTTAAGACTCATAGTGTGAGGATGATCAGGCAAGTCAGAGAGCAGAGCTCTCTCTCTCTCTCTTGTGACATCACTGACAATGATCTGACCACTGTTTACTTTCTGGTGTTGGCAGTAGGCAGGACTTAGACATAAACAGTAACCCTAACTTCTGAGGAATAGTGATATCTGCCTCAAATCTCCAGAAATCCTGGAAAATAATACCCCCTGCATCTTCCATCCTTACGGAAGAGAGCTTGGCCAGGGATGGAAGGTAGAGAACTTTCCCCAGGACAATCAGACTCCTGAACCTAAGCCGACTTACTGTACTTCCCTGGGGCTCTGGTGTTACAAGCCCCTATTAGGAAGAAGGGCACATTTTCAAGGCTCCTGAAGCTTCCCTATTTGCTAAATCAGAGCTATTAATGGCCCTAAATGTGGGGACTACAAAGTCACACTGGGAAGATGTCTGTCCATTACATCTCAGAGAATCCAAGGGACATTCAAAGTCAATAACACTGTATTTCCCTACCTCCAGTCAACTTTCAGACATCAAGAAGGCATTGGGAGGAGTGGCTAGGGTGGGGTCAGGGAGCAGACAGAAGCCTTTCCTTCTTATCATTCCCCCGCCCGCCCCCAGGGGTGAGTTCAGCCCTAGGCCAGAAAGTCAATTCAGTGCTCTTAACACTCAGCCCAAAGGGATTGGCTTATCATAACTACCCACCAACAGGCTTGTGGAAGCATGGACTCACAAACAGAAGAGCAGAGAGACTGGAAGGCGCAGATCAGTTGCTTCAGGGCTGGTCTCATATCCACCCTGACCTTGGTCACAAGTGACAGACAGGAAGAGAGTCTGTCCCTCTGATCCACCCCCTGCCCTTGGCTACATGTGGCAGATAAGAAGAGATTGTGTTCCTCTGAACAAAGTAGCTCTCACCTAGTTCTTTATGAATGGTGTATTTTCTAGTACTTTCTGGCAGATGAAATGTCCACAAGGCCCTCTTTCCAAAGGGTGTCATGAGAAAATACTCCTTGTAACTTGAGCCTCTTGCCCTGCCCTATCCTATAGCCCAGGGACCTGGGTTTCTGTCCCCTCAGAATACAGTAGCTATTCATTGTACAGGGCCTGTGAATCCAAGTCCATTTTCCTCAAACTCCTCCTATGGCGGCATCCTTTAACATACAAAGACATATACACCTCTCCTACTCCCTTGGAGCCACATGATTTCCAGGGCAGCCCAGCAAATACCCTTGGGACAGAAATGCTGAGAGATCAGAACGGGTTTCCAACTGTGTTTGGCAGCTTGAAGACAAGGGTGAGAAGTGACTATGTGGACGTTTCCAGCCAACATTTGACAGCTACTCCTACCAAGTATTCTCTGTGGTAATAGCTCCTGGGTACTTCTTGAGCTCTGAGGCAAGCCTTAGGGAATAAGTGAGAAGGAGAGATGGGGAGAGAGGGCAGCTTCTGGGGTGCTCCCAGTGAGATCCTATAAAGAGTAGACCCCAGAGGTCACAGCTGGCAAATGCATGCCCCCACCCACTCATTGCTGTATCTATTATCAGGATGGAGGGCTATAGGATACAGTGAGGGCAGAGGCCAAGAGGAAAGGCACTGCAGTCACAGAGAGAACCATCTAAATCTGGGACAGGTACAAAGCCTGGGGCAGGTAGGCAGGAAGGGATGAGCTTTTCACAAGGAAACTATGTATTTCTCAGGACATTCAGAGCATTTAGACCCTGGACTGAGCTGGGGAGAGGGTGGAAGATTGGTGAGTCCTTAAGTGTGGCTGGCATAAACAGAGGGGACCACAGGCTAGGCAGACATATTCCTGTGCTAGAATGTCATTTTTAGTCACAGCAGGAACAGTTTGGAAATGGTTTGGGCTGCTACTGATTGGTGGTCACAGCTGGCCAGCAACCTAGAGAGAACAATGGATGTCAAGTACCTAAGATGGTTTTAGGGTAGCCTAGATCTGGAAGCCAGAAGTTGGCCAAAATAGGATGGGTCAACCCTATAGAATATCTAAGGCCCCAAGGATGACAAATAGCTAAGGACTTGCGCATCTGGGAGAGCATTGTGTAGAGATAGAGAGAAGACACATTTTGCTCATTTTCTCATCCTCCTAAACCTGCCACAGAGCTGAGTTCCTATCAGTTACCCACCCAACATTTTCAGATCTGAGCTGAGTCAAAGACAAGAACAGTTTCCAGACATTCCAAGATGGAATGCTCGGTCCAAGATTGTCCACATGGCATGAAGACTCCCCCAGCCAAGTCACAGATTGTTAGACAGATGGCAGCAACCCTAGCAGACTGAAGATACAGGTGGACGAGAGGGTTTATCTTCACTGAGCGATATAAGGACTGATCCATCTTGGGGGAAGTACTGAAGTTTGGTGAGGATGATAAGGAAGAGGGTGGTGGGCTGGACGTTGCTCCCTTTGAAAATGTAGACCCAAGTTCTACTGCCCCAGAAGGTGTTGTGTATGCAAAGCTGAGAACATCTGATATTACTGGCACGTCTCAGCTACAAAAAGGTACAATCTGCCCTTCCCAGTGTGTCATGTGGAAATTGGAGCCTGGGAAACACACTTGATTGACAGTAGAGACCCTGGGCCCATTCTGCATGGTATGATGAGTTTAGATCTTTTAAAATTGGAAGGAAGAAGTGGAAGGAGGGTTGGAATAGCACCTCTCGTCCCCCTTGTGATGGCAGCTCACAGGAGGACTGCAGAGGCTGCCCCCCCCCCCCAACACAGTAGACTTCTTGCAACCGGATCCACTACATTGGATTTGGAGTGCCAGAACTGGGAGGGAAACAGGAAGATGCTTGACCAATTTGCCTTGAGTTGACTTGTCCCGAGTACCTGCTGTCACGATTGTGGAAGAGACTCACACAGGAAGACAGGGCAGGGCCACCGTCCCTCGAGCATGGCAAGAATGGTTTGATCTATAATCCCCAGGCCCTGGCCAACTCTGTGTCTCAAATCTTGGAAGGGGGCTTTAGATCTGGTGGGAAAGCAAGGCTGGCCTAGTTACTGGGTGGGAGGAAGAGACTGAGGAAAGGAAGCATGGTGGTTTTTTCTTTTTTTCTTTTTTTTTTAATTACTGGCAGATCTAGCTGGCAAAACATGAAAACATAAGGAGGGTATGCAACAGAAGCAGAATCAACTTAGGAAGGAGCAGGTGGAAATAAATGGGCATAGGTAGGAAGGAGACCAAGTGGGCTAGGTAATAAATAGCGAACTCGGATGATGCCTGCCTGGCTTTTGATTCCCTCACCCAAAGCTTGTGTCTTTACGAAGCTTGTGTCTTATGGAGCTTCCTTATGCAGGCATAAGTGTGCTCAGGCTTCTAGCCTTTGTAATACCCCAGGCATTCTGTCCTCAGCTCCTAACTCATGGGAAGATTCAAGTTCAGAGGAGCAGGAAAGGAACCCCAGCATCCCCCGCCTAGTTCCCTGGCTTGAGGATAGCCCTCTAAGTTAGAGCCCTTTGATGGTCCTCAGACCAAAGACATGGGGACTGAAGGGGGGCATTGTTAGCAGGTTGGCTTTTAACATAGACCCATCTGCCCAGTGCCTGACCCCAAAGGAGAAAGTCTCTCTCCACATCAAATACTGAGGATCTGAGTTTCTGGGTCAAGGAGATCTTCAATCCCTGACACCCAGTGAGACTCCAGGCCCTGGAGCCCCGGTCTTACTCACAGACATGCTTGCTTATTCTCACTGAGTGGAACATATGCTAACTGGTGGGAGGGCGCTGGGTGCCCCCATGCAGCATGCAAGGCCAGCATGCACAGTGTGCTCACCCTTTCAGGGGATTGTGGCATCCTCAGGAATAGGAGCCAGCTGTTCCCTCTATAGCACATCTTCCAGAGCTATCTAATTGCTCAGAGATGTCAGGTCCAGCAAGGCTTGGGTGGCCACAATAGATAAAATCCACATGTGAGACCCCTTCCAAGACAGCCTCCTTAGTAGGGGCAGGCATTGCGTGAAAGGACCGGGCGTATTCACCCCTTCCAGTCAACACTCGCTATACAACTTCCTTTCAAGTCTGGCTTCTCCTCTGAAAGGGTGAGCCTGGAGCACACTTTCAGCCTGAGTCACTTTCTCTTGCTGGGCTCTGGCCAGCACGGGCTCCATCTGCACTGCCCCGTGCCATGCCCATTACCTCTGTTGCTGGTACAATACCTGCAGTTGGAGTAGCTTCAGACACAGCACCCAAGATGGCCAGACAGAGAGGAGAGCAGAGGAGAGGGGAGAGAAAACAGCATAGGTGAAACCATAGAAGAAAGCAGAGAAGGTCTGGCTCCAGCCTGACTCCAGTGGTGTGACTAGGTTGCAATCCTGAACATGCTAAACAGTGTTCAGATAGTCATGCTCCACCCCCACTGGAGTCGGGCAGGTTCCTATTATTCCATCTGGGGCTTAGAGACCTTTCTAATACATCATGTTTCTACCCACATTCAAGGATTTGCCATATAAGAGGTGGCTGCAGGCAAAACGCTGTACTTCCAGCTCTTTTTCCAAGGGCGTGTCCTGCCTTGGCTGCGTTAGGTGACCCCCTAAGATGCCAGGCATTGAGGATGTAGATGTAGGTGGTGCAGGAGCAGCCAAGTAGGCACAAACATAGCCCCTGCACTTTCATAGCAAGATGCTGAGTAGTAGTGGGTGAGGGACCATCTCCACCTCAGACGTGGAAAGTATGATGCTCTCTGAAGGTCCTGGAGCTCTGAAAGCACCTGACCTGGTTCCCCACTGTCTCAGAGCCCACCGCCCCCCACCAACTGTACTTCATGAAAATAGGAACCTAAATATGGCTGAGAGCTCTAGAACAATCTCTGAGAATTTCCACAAATTCAAAAACATCTCTGTTCTCTTGTCCCCTAGGGTTGCAGGATTTTCCCTATCATGGTCACTGAAGTTGACAAAGGGGCTTTGTCTTCTGGCAGAAAGGCTTTCTGCATATCTCTAGAACTATAGAGTGTGTACCATAGCTTGGCAGTTTCTGGCAACAGACCCAAGCAGATACTTACCTGAAGCCCACCAGCCCTAATCAGCTTCCTGTGTGTCCAGAAGCTGGAAGAGGACACCAGGACTGGGAACGTGTTGTGTGACTACTCCCTGATCTAGAGGATCAGAGAGGGACTGGCAGTCCTCGGCCTGCTGGCCTGCTGCATGGAGGAGCTCAGGCAGCATGGCCTGGCAGCCCATTGGGAAGCACAATGCTCTCCTGGAATGGGGGCAGGGTGAGGGATACTCAGAAGACCCCATCTGGGTCAGGATCAGATCCCAGGTCCCGAGCCTCCCAGGAGGCAAGTACGAGTCACCATTGTGTGGTAATCCCAGAGATGCCTGTTCATATTACCTTTTTTTTTTTTTTTTTTTTTTTTGGTCTCTCGATTGCATATTGAATACCCTAAACTTCAGCACCTTCATTCGGGCAGAAAGACAACCAGCCATTTTGTAAATGTCCCTTGCTTCTGGTGCAGTGTCTGGTGTGGTACATGTGGACGGGTGCCTAATAAATGGTTGTTGCACAGACCACTGTACCTCTGGAGAGGCAGAAGGTCCCCATCAATTTACAAGGAGCTGCCAGTTTAGAGGCTGCTATAGTTGTGCATCTCTGGGAGGTTATGCTGAAGCCAGTGTACCTGCAAATGGGCCAAGAGTGCCCTCTAGTGTACACTTAGGTCAGGTGCAGCTCTAGGGAGGGATCTTCGGGGTTGGGACTTCGGGTATTAGTTCACTTGCTCTTTGTGAAGCTGGCTTGGCAAAGGGTTGTTCCCAGCTCCCACTTCTCTGCAGCCAGACATCTCATCTTATTCAGATGAGGGAGGGAGACCATATTTCCCGCCCTACTCTTGGTCCAGTCAAGCAGCTTCAATCCCTGCACTTTGCCCTGTCTCCCTGGCTCTTTATGCTCTTGGCAAAAGACAGGCTATTCCCAGGGAGGACTCTCAGTTATAGTCTTGCCTCCCTCAGTAGATGAGCAGTTTGGCTCTTTGGAGTTCATCAGATTGGTTATTTCTCACGTTTCCCCTGATCTCATCTCAACTCACTTGTCCTTCCTTACTCTCCTACAGGGACAGATGGTTGATGGTAAGTCGCTGAACAAGTCACGGCCAAGTGGAGGACCAGGTCTGCCTGCATGTCTGAGTCATGACTTTTCCAGATACAGTACTGGTATCTTACTCTCAGCACCCAAGACAGGCTACCTCCTGCGGTGGGCGGGGCTGAGGATTTGTGGCCTGACTTCCTTTCCATCCTGGAAGGCCAAGCCCAGCCTCTGGTGTGTTTCTCTAGGTGTCCAGATTAGCTAGGGCCTTCCGCTCCAGGGGCTGCTGCCATGGACCTACCTTCATTTGGAGGTGCTGGGGACTCCTCTGTGGCTGCTTCTCCAGAGCCCACCTGCGTCCTGGCGCTGAGGGAGAATCGGTAGCGCGACACAGGGTCTGCTCTCTGCACCGAGAACTTAGTCTGATTGGGAGAGAAGTTTTCCACCATCTGCTTTCCTAGTTTGGTTCCATTAACTGGAGAGAGAGGCGAGTGGGTGGTTTAGTACCTGCATGGGTCCTAGAAGCTGTGGTTTGGACAGCTTCTGGAGTTTCTGGAAGGGGATTGGGCACAAGCTCCCTCCCATTGGAAGCACTGAGGTACTTCCATTGGACCCCAGGGTTCACACTTGTCACTGAGCCCATTGTCTCTCGCTTCCCAAAGGCCATGTGACCAGTTCTGAAAGGTCAGTTTACATGTCCCAAGCCCTCTGATAAGGTCAAATCTCTGGAATTCTTTTCTTCTGTTGAAATAGATCTGGGAAAATCCCCCAAGGCTTTTGAAAACTGTTGCCTCATTTGTAAAAGGCCACTTCTTCAACACACCAGGAGAAGGGTCAGGTCCAGAGATCAATTCATAACAGCATAGAGGGCACACGGTCGTCTGTTAAAGTGTCAACAACATGTCGCATGGCCCTTTGAGTTTTCCAAAGAGGGGCAGCACTGCCTTCACTTTAACACTTTTGAAGTGTGATGGCATTCCTGTTCCCACCTGGTGATCTTGTGGCAAGGACTTCCTGACCCAGGCCCCTGATTCACATCATCCCATGGCAGCCTGACTGTTCTGCAGATAACTGTCTTATCAAATGATGCCTGCATCCAGTGTCTCCCTAGCATCTTTGGATGCCTGTGCACACACTGTTTGCCAATCAGATGGAAGTGCCAACAGAGAAGGAAATCTCCTTTTTAGACTTGTGTATGTTAGAGAGACTACAAGCTCCCTGAGGGCTGGGGTTGTCTCTCAGAGGACCCTTTGTCTCCCTCCTTCAGATGGAGCTGTGTAAGAAGAGTAGGGATCGGGGCTGGCCTGCTCCCTTTAATTCCAAGGAACTTTTCCTTGGTACTCTCATCCCTATGCAATGCCATCTGCACCTACAGGCTTCCAACCTCCATCCCATCCCTCAAGAAAATGGTGAGAAAGGGTTTGTGATTACATCTCATTTAGGAAAAGCAAAAAAGCAGAACATACAGGCCACGTATTTGAGAGTGTATCCAATCAGGATTCCATTAGGGTGCTCCGGGTGATCCCACTCCAGGTTGATGGTCTCCAGGTTGGGCTGACGGACTCTGAAACGCCTGGGGGCACTGGGTACTTGGGGAAGGAGGAGGGAGCCAGGAGATGAGGGCAGGGAGGATGAGGAGAACACAGAAAACAAAGCACAGGCATGAAGACATGACCTCAGGTATCCCTCGGCTGGACCACTGCTGAACTAGGCCCTAGAACCTTGAGTGCAAAACCTGCTGCCTGCCTGGCATGTACTGTCACCTGGTATGGAGTCAAGGAGGCTCAGATATTGCTGTTGAAGTGGCAGAAGAAGTCAAATGAGTTTTCCTTTAGCAACTACCTTGGAGTTGGCATACATTAGGCTGTTTCAATCCTGCAAGTATACCTCCAAATCTTAGAGCCACTCCCAGGCAGGGAGCCAATCCTAACTCTCTTGTGGCAAGGGTGCAGTTCTCAGTCCCCAGCCAAGGGCTTACACCACTGGGTGCAGCAGCAGGCCCCAGCTTCGGAGCTGGGAATATGGGCTCCATGGGGGAGGAGAGAGAGACTCAGGATGGAGCACCTGGAGAAGGGTGGGAGTGATGGGGAGAGGTTGATGATGGGAACCAAACTGAGGAAGGAGAGACAGGGATAAAGAAAACAAGAGGGAAGAACAAAGGAGAAGAGAAAGGAGGAAGAGAGGAAGAAAAATGGGAAACAGTTAAGGAGAGAGGGAGGCAAAACAGAAGGCAAAGCTCATGCCAAGTGGATAAAAGAGCCTATGGGGAACCAAGGTTCTGAGAATAGAATTTTGTAGATAATCTGGATCACAGGGTTAGATCAAACCATAAACCCGAAGGAGGGCTGGGTGACACTTAGCAGTACTCTGTACACACAGGCCAGCTTCCCATGAGTGTTTCTTGATGTCAAGGGGAGGTTTGTGCCGGTCTCGGGTACTGGTACGCAGGGCATCGAAGTGGCCAGATGCATGTGTGGCCTTCGCCTCAGAGGAGGTGCTGGGGTTAGTCTATTCAGACTGGAATGCACTGTCATATCAAACAGATCTCTTGAGACACAAGTTTCCGTAAGGATGGGCCACCTTGGTGATGGTCATCAGCTCGCTGAGGTCATCCAGGCTGTCCATGCCAAGCCATGCTGGAGCTGCTCCAGGCTCACCGGTGACACTACCCTCATCCTACCCCACCTTGAAGAGCTGCAGGTCAGACCTACCTCCTTCCGGGGTGGTGAATTCCTTGGTTTCACTGCGAGGCCCATCACCTCTCCCATTGACCACAACCATCTCCAGCTTGTAGTTACTGTAGGGGAACAGGCGAGCCACCACGCCCCGGGGGCGGTCACCAGGGAAGCTGGCCTGCTGTCTCTTCTGAGACACCCACAGGTTCTTCAGCAAACTGCTTTCCCTCCAGTAGTAAGCCTTAGAGACAGAGGCAGGCTAGTGAGGGACCAGGCAGCAAGGCCAGGTTAGTGGTTAGTGGTGGTAGTGACTGGTCCTCCCTTTGCTTACTACAGTCTCACAGTCCCAAATGACCTCATCCACCCCATACAGGCTGGGGGGACAGCCTTATGGTCCTTACTCATTGGCACTCATGACAGAGTGATGCTGAACATGAAACAGGGGAGTGGTTTCACCCATTTTTGGCGCCATGCCACCTCTTTGGAGAATGTGTCCAAGCTGGGCAACAACATGTTGCACGGACAGTTCATCCCAGAACCACAAACTTGAATCAGGGGTCCTGACGCTGAAAGCTGTACCTGGTGCTCAAAGACCATCTCACTTTCAGTTGGATTAGTAGTTTAGGGAGGCAGCAGGTGGGCATGCAAGGAGCAGGTTGTCCCGAACATCAGAGTATGAGCAATGGTTTGTATAATTCTCTGAAGCCAAGCGATTTCTTTATGAATTGTTGAAGATCTTTAGAGATGGCAGACACATGTCCAAGTAAGCTGGGGTTCATTCAGGGCTGTGCAGCAGCAGCGCTTGGATGGGAAGGGTGGCCTTGGAGGGTGGTAGAGGTGAAGGGTATAATGTAGGTCTTATTAGCAGTAGGTAAGAAGCCACAGGACAACTTGTCACAGCAGTGTCCCCAGCAAAGTGGTGAGGAAGTCCAGACTCATGGCGACTGATAAGTACTTCAGTAAGAAAAATCTCCAGGCCAGCAGGTTAAGGGTTAAAAAAGTTAACTGTTGGGGAGGGGCTAGATCAGGTGCACTTGGCCTCTCTTTAGCTCACTGCCAAGTTCATTTACCAAGAAGGGGTTGACCCCTTCTGTCTGTCCCCAGCTGTCTATCAGCCAACTCTTGTTGACCTCAGAAGCCACAGACCCAGTGGTAACCCGTGGCTGTATCATGCTCACTGCCAGCCAGCTGAAATGTAGCTACTACCTTCCTGAGGAAAAATCCTGCCACTTCCCCCCCAACTTAGCCCAACCCCCTAAGGATGCATGACTTGGCAGAAACTGCTCCCAGGCCGAAAGACAAGAGGTCAGGGCCTTCAGAAGCTGTGCTGGGTTCCAGAGTTGGCTGTGGCAACAGGGAAGCAGCTTATGTCTCTTCAGTGGCTTTTTCTGTTAGTGTGGCCTTCTGGAACCAGGCTGGGGAAGCAAACAGCTCAGCAGGGGCCTCTGAGGGAAAGGGGATAGCTCAGAGGAAGATACACATGTTCGTTCATACATGTATACCAAACACATGTGCTCCGCAGTGCCAGCTCAGACCCAGCATCCTCCTAAGGAGGTCTAGCTGAGCTGGACCTTCAATACACCACATGTGTTCATCTAGTATTGAGCTGTGTGATGTTCTGCCAGTAAGGGACTGTGCACGATAGAACAGTGGTCCCATAAGATTATTTCACCTAGTGATGGTGTTGTAGCCACCATGATGTCATATTACACTATAGGTGTGGTGGAGCTGTGTATAAAAGGTCTACTGGGCTGCCAATCACAAAATCATAGCAATACAATTGGACTGCTTAGTAATGAACACCACCAGGTTACTGGTTTACGCATTTATAATACTATCCCAAGTTTTGTATTTACTCAGCACTCTCAATCTGCCTTTGTAGTGCTGGGAATTGAACCCAGGTTCATGAGTGTTAGGCAAGCACTCTACCACTGAGCTATGCCCCTAGGCCCCACTTTATACTTTTGTCTTTTTTAAAGGTTGATTTATTATGTATAGTGTTCTTCCTGCATGTATCCCTATAGGCCAGCAGAGGGCACCAGATCTCATTAGAGATGGTTGTGAGCCACCATGTGGCTGCTGGGAATTGAACTGAAGACCTCTGGAAGAGCAGCCAGTGCTCTTAACCTCTGAGCCATTTCTCTAACCCCCCTACTTTGTACTTTTTATCCTATTTAGAAAATGCAGCTTACTGTAAAACAGTTTCCAGCGTTACATTGGCAACAGCCTCACATGTCTTAAGCTTGCTGTGTGTGTTGACTGCAGTAAGTGGCCATGCTGAGGCTTCTATCAGCTAGGTTTGTCTCAGTACGAGCCATGAGGCTGGCACAATGACAAAATTGCCTAATGATGCATTTCTCAGAACATGTCCCTGCTGCTGGGTGAAACACGAACATATGTATAATATACATAAATCTATGTGTGAATGTATACGTTCCCCAGTGGGTAATTTTGAATTTCAGAAATCATCTTGAATCAACTTTAGATGCCATGAGTATTCCTAGGACCCCTTCGAGATCCCCTACACATGCGGCTGCTGCCCCGTGCCCTGGTTAGCGAGAAGGTGGTTAGGTGGGGCTGGGGGCTGGCCTCCTCACTCGGTACTCTCTGAGCTGGCCTTGGACCGTGTCAGAGTAGACCCGGTTCCACTGAAGGCTGATGGCCGTGCTGTTCATGACTCGGATTTTAACTTCAGTGGGTGCAGCTCTGGGATCTGCAATATGTAGGGACAGAGAGCTGGTTATACAGGCAAGGTTGGCTCTTGGGTTCAAAGGTCCCCTCTGATGTATTCTGACAGCCTATACCTCCACTCTACTGCATACTGGGTACTCCAGACAACAGTGAAGTCTCAGAGCTAGAGGGTGACGATCTAGGTGAATAGAACAATTATTTGTGGCACTCAAGTTCTAGGATTATCTACCTTCCTTTTCATTCTCTAGCTGTCCCACTGTTCTGTAGCCTAAGAGGCTGCTCTTTTATCAGCCCAGTACATTTTCCTCAGGCTTCTTGAGGAGCTTGGCCAATAGGAGGTGCCAACATGAGGTGCCAGGGTAAGAGTAGAGGGGGAGTGGACATTGCTTCCCCTGGCTTTCTCTGCAGGACTGCAGGTTGACAGTGCTATGCTCCTCTGCCCATGGCCACAGCTCCTAGGGTAATACTCACAAGCGGTGGTGACTCATGTGTCCCCTGCCTCTTTGAGGCTCAAAGGGAAATCACAGGTTCTAGTTACTCTCGAGGCTCTGAGACCTTACTATTTCCCTCTAATAATCTTCATATATTTTCAATAACCAATTCTGAGTGTGCCAACAGAAACACTATCTGCAGACAGGAGATGCCGCTAATTTCGTTCAGAAAAGAAACATAGCTCTGTGACCCCTGCTCTGCAACCAAAACAAAGCTACTGCAATGATACACAGGCCCCAGGGTGGACAGATATAGTGGAAACTATGGGTTCATCCAGAAAGCCCCAAATCACTGACTGGCAGCCCCCACTAGACTTTTGCAGGGAAGTAACTTCCACTGTAGAGGCCTGGGATAGGCCTCTCTGTTAATTTCCTGTGGGCTCCATCCATGACTGCTCCTGGGACTTGGTCCTCACTGTGTCCCTCCTCACCATTCAGGGACCACTGGCCTTTCTTGGAGCCCAGTCTTGCCTCCTGTGTCCCTTCCTCTGCTCACCCCACCAATCCCTCCATCTCTGCTTGTATCAGAAACAGACCCAACTGCTAAGTCTAGTTGACTCTACAATACTCTGTTTTGCCCAGGAGCTGTGGGACTGATGTTGATGGACCAAGCACAGAGGCCATGCCCACACTTTCACATACAGGTCCAGAACGTTGGTTTGTTCAGGCTCAGCTTCCTACGAAAATCCAATATCATGTTCAATTCCAAGGGCTGGGAACAGTTCTGGAATGCTGGGAGATGGTGGGTCAGGAGAACTCTGGTTGGTTCTCTGTAGACTTCACTGACTATGGCTTCCCTGCCATGGGAGCCTAGACTGTACCCAGCTTCTTTGGAGCACCTAAATAGCTCATTCAAACAGCAATCCAGATCTCTTTCTTGGTGCCAGCAAGGCTTGGCAGTAAAGCAACCTGTCTGGGGACCTGGGGACCTGGGGACCTGGGTTCTATTTTCAAGCCTGACCATTTGCTGTTGTACAGTCCTGGGCAGGACTGTCTCTAGACTCAGTTTTTACAGCTGTAAAGTTTCAGTTCTGGTCTAAAGTGGGGATGTGTTCAAAAGACAATTCTCTTCCTGATGTTACCAGTGCTACAAGTAACAGCACTGTAGGCTAACAGTACTAGGCCACAGTAGGGTAGCCCTATCTCTTGGGAACCAGCTGTCCTTCCTCGACACATCCTGAGTTTCTCAGCCCGAGAGAGTGGCTACAAGTGGCTGGCACCGAGGGCCCTGTTGGGGAAGGGAAGTGGGCCAATACTCACAATCTTCTCCTGAGTAACCAATGATGGTGTCAGGCTCGGGACCCTTCCCAAAGTCGTTTTCAGCCTGGACTCGAATCTCATAGGGTACGTAGACAGGAGTCTGCCCCACCACATAGCGAGAGCCCCACACTGTGACATTGTTCCAAGTTTCTCGGGTCTCCCTCCGTCGCCACTTGACAATGTAGCGCAGGTTGGGGCCAAAGGCAGAGGTGGCATTCATGGGCTGTGCAGGGAGAGACAGACAGACAGGCAGACAGGGTGGACAGGGCGTTGGTAAAGCTTGCCCTCTTCATCTGTGCCAAACACTCTACCCAGGCTTGCCTGCCACCAGCCAGCTCCTTTTCAGTACAGGGGACGGTACCTTACCTCTGTTGAGTCCCCAAAGAGCCTAAAATCCCAGGAACTCTGTAGCTCCCAGATTATCTATGACAAAAGGTTCCCCAGAAACTAAATCACTTTGACTGCAAGCACCACCCACACTGGGGTGCACGGGGAACAAATGCTTTACTTAGGGCAAAATTCCTCCTAAGACAGAAGGAGCTGGGAGCCAAAGACTGACAGTCATGATCTCCAGTCAGAGAGAGGACCCCAATCTAACCAAACTACTCTCCCGCTGAGGAGCTCAAAATTCCAGAACTGACTTCACTCTACCAAACCTGCATGACTGGAACTCATTCACCCTAAGGACCCGGCTAAGGAGGCAGGCTCCCAGAGCAGGCCACACAGAGCCACAGGCCAGCTGTCCAGAATTCGAGTTCAGTCCAAAGCTGTTGGTCAAGGAGCTTGGCTGGCCAGGCTTCAGAGTGACAAGGCTGATGGTGACTCTGAGGAGCATGTAGCTCTGACTGTTACCACTTCAGTGACTACATTTCCAGCTTTTAGGAGTGGTTTAGAAAAAGTCAGTTTCTAAACATATTCCAGTTTTAATTTGGAAAGTGTAGTCAGGGAGCCAGGGTGAAGAGGGGGAGTTGACAGTCCTAGCCCGAAGGAAGTCACCTAGCCCAGGCTCCAGTGCTTCCAACAACCCACTGCACAGAGCCAGCACACAGCAAGCTCAGCACTGGTGTTTTGCATGTCTCTCTTTCCCAAAGCCTGAGTCCCGCCTTCAACATCAGACCGTTTATTTTGGTGGTTTTCTTGATGGATTTTGTTAGCTTGGTAGTCTGTGGAATTGGATGACTTCTGCTCACATGTCTGTTCTGAACTCCTGCTCCTAGGCACTTGTCCTGTTTGGCTTCTGAATGTTCAGCTCTGAGACTAGATTGGTTCTCAGAGGACAGTGGTCCCAATCAGTTAGATAGTCTGAAACATACTAAGGCCCCAGGGAGTAAGGAATGGGGGCTCCTGGGTGCCTGCTGCTGGTGAGTGTGGGATGGGGAGGTACTCCTACCGTCCACGTGATCTCCATATTGTTCTTTCTTGTCCCTTCTCCCTTCACATCACTGGGATTGGACTCAGGGGCTGGAACCCAAACAGATAAAGCTGAAGTCAAACCTGAGCCAGGCCAGGGCACCCGTTTGCCTCCCACCTAACTGCCCCCTTCTGTACGCTGGCTCTTCACAGCTCCCAACTCTTTTTCTCCCATGCATGACACATCTTCCTAGCTAAGATTCAAACCCCTCAAAGTAGACATAATTTCTTTTAAATTTAATCCTCTACCAGAAAGCACTTAACATAAACCTTTCCTCATCTCTGGTGGCCATTGTGCTAACTCACAGATCATCTGCTGCTATGTCTTGCGACACGCTGGCTTATCCTGATAGTCAGTGTTTTGGAGAAAGCATGTCTATCTCCATGAGCTGGTGTGAGCTCATAAACTTAAACCTTATCCTAGTGTATTAGGAAGAGAAATCCAACATAACACCAGATTATCTTTTTTTTTTTTATGTATGCCTCTGCCACAGCTCTGCCCCTTTGAGCAGATAATAAAGAACCATTAACAGTAATAGATTTATTGTGTGCTTATTATGTGACAGGCACCACAATTAGTGCCTGGCGTGTATTTTCTTTTTTCTTTCATGTGTATCTGTGTGTGCACGTGTGTGGAGGCCAGGGCTCAATATTGGGCGTCACCTCGATCACTCTCCACTTTAGTTTTTGGGACAGGGTCTCTCACTGTACCTGGAACTTGGTGATTCAGCTCCAATGACTGACCAGCAAGACCCAGAGATCCTCCGTCCCAACCCCCTAGTGCTGGGCTTACATACGAGTGCCACCATGCCAGCCTTTTACATGGGGACCTGGGATTGGATTTAGGTCCTCATACTTCACAGCAAACATTTTACTAACTGAATGGTCCCTAAGACACATTTTCTTCTTTAATGTTTTTAAACATTGCATCTATTTATTTATTTATGTGTATGTGTGGGTTCACATGTGCCATAGTGCATGCGTGAAGACCAGAGGACAACTTTTGGGAGTCGGTCATCTCTACCCACCATTTGGGTACCTGGGATCAAACTCAGGTCGTCAGACTTGGCACCTGGTGCTTCTACTCCAGCCATCTCTCCAGATTTTTCAAGTGGGAACCCTCACCATAGCCCCGAGAGGTATGTGTTACAATAAGGTGAGGAAGCCAGGCCTTGGACAGGCAAGTAACTTGCAGAAGTTCCCACGGCTGGGAGCTGGGAGAGTCAGTGTAAACTCAGGGCACCTGGGGCTCAAGTACTCACGTGCACCACTGGTTCTGTACCGCTCAGATGGAAGGCTGGGGTGACTGCTCCCAACCTCATTGACAGCGATGACTCGGAACTGGTAGTTGACATACGGGGACAGATGGAGCACGGCTGAATTGACGCTGCCTGGGAACTTGGAGTGGTCATGCCAGACCCCTGGTTGGAACTGGTCCTCTTCAAACTGGATGACGTAGTCTGAGTGGACAAGGAGGACAGAGCTGTTTTGGGAGTCACAAAGTCCTTCTTTAGAAGCGCATCCTTCTTGGCTTCCATTTATCTTTATCATCTCCCCAAGACAGACAGTGGCATGTGAAGAAGTCTTCCCAGGATATGGGAGGGAATCAAAGCCTCCATGCATGTGTCATGAGGCAGGGGTGCGAGCAGACACTGGGGGGTCCTATTCCAAAGTTGGTATGTTACCAGCTCTCTCTGGCTCTGGAGCACAGGGCCCTGGACTGACCTGTAATGGGGCTGTTGTTATCATCCCCTGGAATCCAGGTCAGCCTCACACTCCTCTCAGCCAGGTCAGTGAGTTCCAGGTCCCTGGGTCGGTCTGGCCGTCCTGGCAGCAGAGGAAAAAGATGTCACTCTGAGCTCCTGAGTGAGAGCCAGCCCCTCTCCTTGGGATAGGTAATACTAGAGCTGGACAGATCCCTGAGGGGCTCGGGTCAATACTGCCAGCAGATCAAACCCCAACTTACCCTGGAGGGCCAGTGCAGGGACCACCCCCTTTCCTCCAGGAGACAAGGAAGAACCTAGAATCCCAAAGACTATGGAACAAGGCAGGGCAGAGGGAACAGGGGCCAAGTCATCCTGTTTCTTTGGCTGTTCTTTTAGAACATGCACTTTGGGGAAAGGCTGCTGCTTTCATGAGAGAGACCTCAGGGAGGTATGGGGCTTCATCTCATTTCTCACAAGTACTGCTTGTTTCTCTGGCTGCCGGGACTCTGAGGACCAGAACCCAGGAGAGCTCTGAAGTGCTGAGCAGGGCAGATAGATGAGGAAGTCGGGAGGGTGCAAAGAATGTCCATTGGGGGAGACTTAGCTTGGATTAAGTGAGGGAGTAGAACAGCAGGGGCCAGAGGCATCCACGCAGGAGTGAGGGACTTGCCTTTTTATGGGGTGGTGGTGGTGGTTTCTATTGTCCTGGCTTTGGAAGAGAGTCATCCAGCCATAGAATGTAGGTAGACAAATTTCCCCCACATCTTACCTCCCTTAACCAGCTATTTCCATGATTTGGCTGGTACTGGGAGGACTTAGTCAGTGAGTCACTATGTTCACATTGTGTGTGTGTGTGTGTGTGTGTGTGTGTGTGTGTGTGTGTGTG